GGAAACGGACACACTATTGTCCGTTACTCTCCGGAAAGGACAATAGCGCGTTCGTTTCCCACCGCAGACACCTGCGGTACGGACTTTTGCAAATATCTCAGTATTATCGAAGTTATGTTTGGTTTTAATTTAGATTTACCGACTAGGTGTTCTTTTCTGCGGACGCAGAGCGGTCTACCCGTTTCGCCAACATATTCGTCCCCGCACGCTTTACAAGAGATCAGATAGACTGTACCCGAACTCATGCAATCACCGTCTCTACCATTTGGGCAAATTATGCAGTTTTTTGTTGTACATAGACGGTCGTATAGGCTGTTGCGAACTGGCTGGCGTCGTAGAGTGTCCGATGGTATTTCTATCACTCTTACGGAATTTTCTGGACCGGCTCTTATTAAGCAGCGTTTTATAGCTGCACTTATTTCACTTATTATTTATTTAATCACAACGCTCTATTGTCCGCTACTCTCCGGAAAGGTCCTCAACGATTGATCAACGCCGAAAGCTTTATCCTTTGTTCATTTATTTTCCTGGGAACATTGGCAAAAAGTAGTTTGGCTGACAACGGCAGACTGAGTAACCACTGAAAATTGAGACCGAGGTTTTCCTAACTTTTTTTTATTTATTCACTGTCTACTATTATTTTTCACGGAAGATTGTGGCGTGAAATACAAACCTAGGGAACTGTAAAACTTGTAGCCCATCGTGGATTCGAAGCCGCGATTACGCTTCTCCAGGACTTACGTGCTCTTCACTGCACCACTGAAGCTCTTGGTTTACCTTTCTCTCGGCCAGTTCTCTATCTAACGGTACCATTAGCAAGCACCCGTGAATGAAAATGATCTGGGATGCATAAATCGGCAGTGAACCTAGTTAGGCTGAGGCCGCTCTCGAAATCATAATATTTAACTCCTTGTGCCTTCTCGAACGACGTCTAACGTGCACGAAACGTCGAAATAAGCGCTCTCTGAGTGGTTCTCTCGAACGACGTCTAACGTGCGCGAAACGTCGAAATAAGCGCTCTCTGAGTGGTTCTCTCGAACGACGTCTAACGTGCGCGAAACCTCGAAATAAGCGCTCTCTGAGTGGTTCCCTCGAACGACGTCTAACGTGCGCGAAACCTCGAAATAAGCGCTTTCCGAGTGGTTCCCTCAAACAACGAATAATAACCGTGATTTGCTCTAAATCGTGAAGTAGGCGCTTTCAGAGCGAAACTCGCGAGAAACGTCGAGCGCTCCCTTAACCTCGAAATAAGCGTTTTCTCAGCGAAACTGTCGAAATACTTCTCACGAGCCCTTCGCCGTGACGCGAAGCCTTTAATGAGCGAAACTTTCGAAAAACTTCTGGTTTGCATGAAACCGTGACCTAAAATTTTTGCGAACGAAACTCTAAAATAACCTTTAACGCGTGCTTATTCTCGTAGGAATCGCTTTCCTTGCGGAACTCTCGAATAACTTCTATCGCTGCCTATACTTCGAGATAAGCGTTTTCCTGGCGAAGCTCGCGAAAAACGTCTGATGTGCGCTAAATCGTCAAATAAGAGGTTTCCGAGCGATACTCTCCAATAACGACTAACGCTGCGCATAACCTCGTTACAAGCGTTTTCCTTGCGAAACTCTCAATAACGTCTGATGCGCGCTAAACCGTGAATCAAGCGTTTACAGAGCGGAACTCTCGTATAACGTCTAACGTGCCATGAACCTTGAAGTATGCATGATATAGGAGAAGCTCCCGCATAACGTCTAACGTGAACTTATCCTTGAAATATACGTTACTCCTCAATAATGACCAAGGCGCTCTAAAGCGTCAAACTAGGGTCTTTCGTTCAGAGGCTCTCCTTGGTCCAATTTTGGCATTGAAATCTCCAATGATGACCTAATGTGTGGTCTTCGCTGTAGAACTTCTCCAAGTCCATATAGATCGCTTCGACTTCTTCTTCGTCGTAGTTTGATGTCGGCGCTTAATCGACGAATATTGTCTAAGCCGCTATTGATCCACGTCTTTTTATTCGTAAACGTCCGATTAGGGTTGTAAGTTGTTCGAATGAATCGATGTTCATGGACAAGCTCGCGTTGACGAGAACGCCATCGCCGTCGACTCCTTTACTATCGCATGCTACGAGGAAGACTTCTTTTCCGGTTTCATAGACGGCGTTGAATGGGTGGCGTCGTCTTGCCTCGGCCAGGCAGATAACGTCTTAGCTTACCCTTCGTGCGTCCATGAGGAAGTCTTCTACCGAGGACGCGGATGCAAGTGTACGTGCATTGAAGGTACAGATCGTCATCATAGTTCTTTGAAATCCAGGTAGCTTCCATTACCTCTGAGATTTTAGCAGCCTCACCGTACTCGTCCTGCCCAACGGTGCGAAATTGGGGCTCATTCGAAGTCACGGGAATAAGGCCTGTTTTTCTGCTGTGTTTAGCACTTTGATACCTCCGTATAGCTTGCTGGCCTCTGAACGTAGGGGCTGGGTATACCCATGGGTAGCTTGCCAGGATCTTCCTCAGTGGACATGGAGCTGATTTATTGGAAGCGACTCCTAACCGCCTCCCATATACTTCTCTGCCACTTGATTGCAGGTTTTTGACCGAATTGGCTTATAGAATACAATCCGCATAAACTTGAATGCACCTACACACGCGTGCATGAGTAGGCCTCGTAATTACAGAAAGCATGTGCGAAATCAGAGCAGCAAAAATAGGGTGTCGATCCCCTGGGTCCACCTGCGTACCAGGAAAACATACGGTCGCTTTTGGTCTACGATTATTCCCCTATCCGCCACTTAGGGACGCGACACGTAGCCTCACGGCTATCCTGCTCGAAATCCCTCATTGAGGAATATCCGTGGACCCGCCATAACCATTCAAAATATCGGCAGTGAGGTGCATTTCCTACATCCATTTGTGATTATTAGCAAGTTATACCTTCCATCTTTGTTGTTCTGCCCTTTGCAGTTAAATTTTTCGCGGCAATGACTTTCACATATCAGAATAGAAGAAGATGTCTTGCGTCACTATGTGCTTTTCGAAAGAAGTCGACTAAGCGAGGCGGAAGGGAAACTTGATGAGCATGAGCTAGACTACGGAGTTGCTTGAACTACATGTTTAGTTATGCAGTCGATTCTTAAATAGAAATACCTTGCTAAATCAATTAACTTATCTAGTTGGAGCAAATACAAAGGCTATTCCTGTTTACGGAACTAAGAAACACTTTTCACGGATCTTCTTCATATGAGGAATCATGAGCGGTTAGCAGCTCTTTAAAACAGAGGTGTGCAAATATTTTGAAATGCTTTACTTCGGAGAATTAGTCCTGAAGACGAGGAACGTCGTTATATTCCGGTAGCAGTTTATGGAGACCTTGTGTTTCGATTGTGGAAGCTGACGATTTGGGAGCTACTCAACGGATCATGAAAGAACTCAGCGCTTTCTACTCAACAACTCTGTTTCATCTGGAAGGGGTTGGAAACTTGAAAAACCTCGGTAGATACCGGCCGAGTAGAAGAAAGGGCAAAAAGATGGCCGCCGCGAAATCCTCTGGAATCTTGTTTTGCGAACTAAAAAACATGGTACCCGACTTGTCTAGGAGGATAGCAGCACTGGCTCGAAACATGGATATGCCACCACGAGTTATTATAAAAGCCAAATATACATTCAATCCCTTCCAACGATGCTGAATGAAGTCGAATGAATGGCGCATCCCTCAGAGATTGATCAACGCCGAGAGCTTCATCCTTTTTATTTATTCAGTGTTTAAACTGCATAAAACATCACATCAATGACGAAGAACTTCCTTTTTATAACTATATTCTGCTCAGTGTACAGCAATATATGAAAAAAAAACATTAAGCGATAAATAGATAGATAGAGCGATAGAAAGGTCCCGTTTATCCTACCCTTCATCTCAAATGATGTAAGTACAGCTATAAAACGCTGCTTAAGAAGGGCGGGTCTAGAGAATTCGGTGAACGTAGTTGAAATGCCACCGAGTAATCTTAGGCGCCAGCTAGTTCGTAACCGCCTATATGACCATCTATGTGCAACGCAAAATTGCATAATTTGCCTCAATGGTAAAGACGGTGATTGCATGAGCTCGGGTATAGTTTGTCTGATCTCCTGTAAGGCGGCGAGCTGGGACGATTACATTGGCGAAACGGGCAGACCCCTCTGTGTCCGTATAAAAGGACACCTAGCCGGCAAACGTCTACCAAATACCCCACTATGTACCCATAGGACCCAGAGACATAACGGGGAAGACTTTGAAGTCCGCGTCACGATCCTCGCACAAGAATCGAGAACACAAGCGCGCAAAACTCTCAAGGCGCTCTGGATTAATTCCAGAAATCCGAAAATGAACCGCAGGGAAGAATTCCTCATTATCACACATAGTCAATGAGGCATAGTCACTCGGTGATGACCTTTTATGCAGGTTGCTGATGGTGGATAGCTGTGATTGTCTGGTGATAGTGTGGCAGTAGCTTGTTTTTTACGGGCAGTCAAACCTGCAAAAGTCGGTGTTTGATAGGCGTATTCATGCATGCGAGCATCACCAAGTGAGTATGCCTCATCCGAGGAGATGGCTCGCTGAGGAAGACCTGAGTCGACACACACAAGGCGAAGTTGCCACGTCGAGACGAGTAACAAGCGTGGACCATCGACTCGGATCATCGGCTCTGAGAAAGACGAAGACGTCCAAACGTTAGCCGAAAATAAATATAATTATCAACCTCGTGGAAGCTCATCAAGGAAAGAGAACAGTTTAAAAAACGCGCCTCATTCCCTTGACCCCGGAAGAGCCCCCAATTTCGCAGTGTTGGGTAGGACGAGTGTCCGCATAAAAGGACACCTAGCCGGCAAACGTCTACCAAATACCCCACTATGTACCCATAGGACCCATACGGAGAGGTTGCTAAAATCTCAGGGCCAATGAAAGCTGCCTGGATTCCAAAAAACTATGGTGACGATCTGTACTTACAATGCACATACACTTGCATCCGAGTCTTCGGTAGAAGACCTCCTCATGCAAGCAAGAAGGGTAAGCTACGACATCATCGGCCTAGCCGAGGCAATACGACGCCACCCATTCAACGTCGCCTATGAAAGAGGAAAAGAACTGTTCCTCGGAACATACGACAGTAGAGTCGGCGGCGTCGGCTTTCTCGTCAACGCGAGCTTGTCCATGATCCTTTCGAACAACTTACAACCCGACTCGGACGTTTACGATTGAAAAGACATGGATCAATTCCGGATTTGACAACCTTCGTCGTTTAAACGCCGACATCAAACTATGACGAAGAAGAAGTCGAAGCGATCTATATGGACTTGGAGAAGTTTTACAGAGAGGACCACACATTCCTCAAGGTCGTCATTGGAGATTTCGACGTCAAGGTTGAGCCAAGAAAAACGTCTGAAGAACGTCACATTAGGACCCACGGATTAGCATGGAACGGATAGAGTGAGCAGCTATCTGAGTTTATCATGGCGACCAATACAATGCATGGTAACTCCATAACGATATAGACCATATCATAGTAAACCGAAGGTTTCGCCTAATCGATGTCGTTGTTGTTCTAAAATTCTACATGTTATCAGACCATAGTGTCTTTCGTGCAAAATTCTATTTCTCGCGGAAAGGAGAAAAAGTTCTTAGATTCAAAACTAAAGTCCGAAGACCACCATAAACTGGGAATTATTCAATTCATTAGTCGGCCGTCGAAAAAATGCCATTGTCGATAACATCAACGAGGAATACAATCGGCTCATTCAACATTGTTATTGTTCAAGAAGGGTGACCTGCACGATATCGGCAACTATCGCCCAATCTTCTTACTGTCTGTCGTCTACAAACTTTTCACTCAAGTCATTCTAAACAGGATTGACAGAACACTAGACAAAGAACAGCTATGTGAGCAAGCAGGGTTTCGAAGAGGATTTAGTACGATGGACCACATCCACACGGTAACACGGCTCATTCAAGTATCGCGAGAGTACAAAGACCGCTCTGTCTCACTTTCATCGATTTACAGAAGGCCTTTGATTCAGTTGAGATAAAAGCAGTCTTGGAAGCCCTTGATAGTCAAGGAGTCCCTACTCAGTACACAAAGATTCTTCGTGAGCTGTACAAAAATTTCACAACCGAGATATCACCGTTCTACAACGATATTAACGTCAAAAGAGGAGCTAGGTAAGGCTGTACCATCTCGTCAAAATTATTTATATTTCATACAAGCAAGGGAGGTGATCCGAAGCCCCAACCTGCGCCAACGATCAAAAATTAAGGATGTCGTTCTCTGCGCCAAAGAGTCAAAGATAAAGTAAGCCGGACACGCAGTGCGTATGAATGACAACCCATGGACAAGAGCCGTTAGTGACTGGATTCCTCGGGATGTCAAACGTACTGCAGGAAGACCACCGACCCGATAGTCAGAGTTCTTCACGAAAAACCTAGAAGAAAGACATGATGCTCAATGAGTCTCTAGCAGAACCCACTGGGCTACTCTTGCACGCGACAGGGAAAATTGGAAGCTTTAATGGCGCCCGTTCGAGTCAGTCGATGATCAACGGTACTAAAGGTGATGCAGATGATAGCCATTGTCTCCTTCATTTAGTGCAAATTCCACCTTCAAGCGCCGTGAAATGGGCTGATTTTTTAGCTCGCAAAAGAGGTCTCAGTAAATTTCGCGACGGCGATCTCTTTACTCTTTGTTCGACTCATCCGGCGTCTACCAAGGTTTCTCACGTTCCCAGTGCCCTTCAAATAAAGCGCAGTTCTTGAGTAGCAAGCCATGAGTTTTTTCATAATCCGTTGAGTAACTCCAAAGCGTCAGCTTCTACTATCGAAACAGAAGGCCTTCGCCAACTGCTGATGGGAGCTAACGACGTTCCTCGTCTTCACGACTCATATCTCCAGACTAAAACATTTAAAATTATCTGCAAACTGCCGTTTTGAAGCACTTTTGTGGGTCACGTTTCGAAGAAATCTCTGTGCTTTTGCTGACGCACAACCAAATTCACCCAGCGATGCCACATGACACGAATGTCGTTGTTAGGTGTGCAAAATTTCGAGCAGCTCCACACCACTACAGATACTTGTAACGCATCACATCCTTGTTCCAGCGTTTTCGTGAGGAATACTTATGGATGTTCCACTTTTTGCACAACATTGTTACATTATGAGCATTTGTAACGCAGTGGTTGGAGGCGCCCTGCCTTACACATGCGATCGATCCTCGCGCCCCAGGCTCACCAATTCTGCCATACCTCCGGTGTAGGCACATTGGTGACTTGTCTGAAAAGATAACAGCACTGGCTCGATACATCGGTAGGGTACCGCGAGTCATTGTAAAATCCACATATGCATTCAATCACCTCCAAACGATACTTAATAAACTCGAATGCATGGCGCATTCCTCAGGAATTGATCAATGTGAAGAGCTCTATCCTTTTTTTAACCATTATATTGACGAACGGATTCAAGAGAGGGTCATATTTTATATAGATCCTAGCATTTCTTTCATTTGGTTTATTTCCACTTCGAATGCTACTCGATGTTTGAATCCAGGAAGAAGAAATTTCAATCATGGCACCGAATCTAGCGGATTCTGCATTTACTCACAACGATCCAATAACTGCGGCGTTATATACCACTACTATAGAACACACAATAAATTAGCAATGATATGTGTAGTAGAGCCCCAGCAAAACAGTCCCAATGTCTGAACGTCGTAACAACGGACAACGTCACCCTGGTGGTAATGACAGCAACGTTACTTCATGGCCTTCACGAACCCATTGAAGCAGTTTTTATTCCAGTCAGAGATTCGGTTCTCTTCATTGTCCACTTTTTTTTAAAATCTAACATCGTGTTTTGCGTGCTTGATGCTTTGTCCTGATGTCCAGCTTGCGCTAGAAATACTTAGACACCGATTGATTTTGCTAAACTTTGCAAGAAATCTTATTCCTTCCCTATTGTCTGCCTTTGGTAATAAATTTTCTAGAGCTACATATAATATCCGAATGTTTTATTACGTGAAAAACATTAATTAATTGCTTGTTTATCTTTGTAGTAACAAAACAAATGTTCATTATTCAAGAATCTATCGATTTCTTAGTCTTTTTCTGTACTCTCCCCAGTTTGTGGAGACGATAACGATACCGGTGTAGCTTGCATATCATCGACACCACTAAAACCATACGTCTTAGTAGATTCCCATTATGTTTACATAGCAAATATTGCACAATACAACATGACCTGGTGTTCTGTAAATAGTTCTCGATAGTTCTCATACAAAGATGAAGGATTAACCTTTAAGAAAACAACAATGAGATAGCACCTTTTTCTTATAGAGCTTATAAGGTAGAGAACGTCACATCACAAAAACCCTTATGACGGATAAATGTGATGAGATGAATGTGGTGGGGATTTTGGTTATGGGTTTCCTCCCAGAAGAAGTATTTATCGGGCATTCTTGATATTTTATTTTCTTCAAGAAGGACGTCTACGAATTCCAGCTCGGATGTGGCGATCTCGGTTGTTTTGTTCTCAAGAGTCGCTATTTTCTGAGATGTTCTTCAAGGTTTCTTTAAGGAAAAGAGGAAGTATAGTAAAGTAGATACGAAGACTATAGAGGTACGTTCTAGGCAACATCGTTGTGAAGGAATAATTTATTCAAGTCGACTGTAAATATTTAGCGCCTATAACCACAACGATGTTGAGATATTTATAAAACTCAGACTCCTACCCAAAGTCGAATTTTCGAATTTCGAATTCGAACCCGCGACTACCCTTTCTAGGCGCTAACGTGTTATTACAAATATCTCAGCATCATTGTGGTTGTATGTCACACGATATCCTGTCGTGAAAAAGAACAACAATAGGCACTAAAAAATAAAAAAAAAATGTAAAAGCAACATACACTTCAACTAGCTCTTCATCTTCGCTGGCGGTATTCTCCTGTAATTAAAAGAAGAAGTAGATACTTCTACAACCAGTGATGATCAACTACTTACTAAGGCTGAACTAGTAATAACAATCACTTAAAGCTCACCAATGAATAGTGAGAGTCTGGATTTGTGCGACATACTCCTTCCAGTTGGTTCAATGTAAATTTTTCGGTAGGTGGTGGCTTATAGACATTCGAAACTTTCGCTAGTGCAAGGTACAAATCCTTCATTGTAGGTCGAGCTTGAGGATCTAGCACCCTAAACTTTTAAAGCAATTTTTTGAATATTTTTGAGGTTCTTATCTAGATTCTAACCATTACCAAACTCGCGCAGCAATATCGCTAATTTCCTTTGGTACTTTCTCTGGAAATTTTGGCATTTGACAACGACGAATTTGAGTTGCGATCTTTTTTGCTGGATAGCCTTTCCACGGCCGTTCACCTTCATTGAAAATCTAAAACGATTCTCGGTTTCAGATCTCTTTATCTATGAAAAATGATTACTACCCTTTGACCGAAGCAGTACAGGCTGAGAAGAGAATCTTCAACTTCGGCTGAAACTTCGCCAAACACAGCAACGAAAGTGATTGCTACCGACGGTGGAAGACTTATTCACCCGAGGCACTTAAACGAACCAACGACGTATGCACTACAGAGCACCAAAAGAAATGGAATAGTAATTGGACGTAGAAAAATAATAGACAAGGCAACTCTGTTATAATTGGTCCGCTATCTACCATCTAGAAATGTTCTATTTGAGTCATCTTCAACAGGGTTAATAAAAGGTTGGTTGGAGGAAGGACAAACCGTGCACGGGAGCGGATTTTTTGAAATTTGAAACAGAATGGAACATTTTCGCATTATAGCATAACTAAATGAAGTACGCGAAAGTTCAAGATTTCTTATTCCTTAAAAGACTCCTCAAAACTAAGACATATGGTGTCCATGCCGGCATACACAAGTATGAACTGCTCATTATGGAGTGTACAAAAATTTCACTAAAGGAATGCCATCATTCCACAACATTGAAGCCAACATAAGGAGAGAAATTTGACAAAGCGACACCACCATGCCAAAATTACTTTAAGCCATACTCAAAACGCTAAGCGAAACAATATGATGGTGAAGTTTCATAGCCAGAACTTATATGGTCTTCTCTTCTTTGATAATATCGTTCTAGTTACTACGGTACTATCCACGTGGAATGAATTCTGGTTGGCTTCTTCAGTGCTTATGGAAAATCAGTATTCTGCTGAACCTCCAATAATGGAAGTTGGTGAGAAGAGGATTCATTCATTTTATTAATTTCATTCCCAGATAAACATCTGTGCTTGAATGTAACGAGGGGCTTAGTTAGCTTACAAGAGCACTGAGGATGTAGCGAAGAGAACAAGAAGCAAGGGCGCGACCATCCTTTCGACTCTTCAATTCTTTCTGCCTTTACACACACGTCGGAAACGTCGACTTCAATAAAGAATTGAATAACCAAAGAATGAGAAACATTGCCGCAAACCACAAGATGTATGAAAATTGCTAGTGCAGACATCCTATTCTAAAGCATATAAGTATAGGGTAACCATCAACGACTGCATCACAAGGGATGTGAAGTACACGGAAAGGAGACTACCAGTCAAATATGCTTTGGACTCCGCGTAAATTTTAGTGGAACAACATGACGCTCTTCTTATACTCGTGCTCAAAGAACGAGCAGAATTCGCTGGGCTTGTATAACACTGGGTGGGACAAATGGAGACCCAGCAGCGGAATTAGTCACTTTACGATTAGCAGAGTAGTGGATGATATCGATGATAGTTTAAGCGGAACATCGCAGTTATTTCAAAAATGAAAGCGCTTTAGCATTCTTAGAAACGAGAGGTTATTGTTCTATTGACAAGTAGTTTCAAGTTTTTCAGCACTATTAATCTCCGATGCACCACTTCTATGTACGCTGCAATCCCTGGGGCCATCGACAGAAAGATGACGTTCCCATTGCTTTTCTGATCTGGCCCGACAAAAAACATAGGTTTAATCTCACGAAGAGAACTCTGCTGGGAAATGGATAAGGTTGGAGGATAAACATATGCCTCATTACATCTTTACATTATGTTTTTCCAATAATCTCCTGTCTTTTCAATAACGAAAGTTCACACCTCGTATAGCATAACAGCGAACGACCAAACATCGGACTTGGTGCTGAACTTCATTGGCCGACGTAATGACTCTGGTGCCATCCAGCTTAACAATAATCTGCTTGAGATCCATGTCTTTTTCGTAAAACAAGAGATAAAATGTTGGATGGTATGACAAACTCACGGCACAGGAACTTGTGATGAAGTTTCATCTTCAACAACTCCGTCCATTTTCGCAAGTTCAGTTCCATGCTTCGACAGACCGAAGTCGGAAATTTTTATGAGACCTAACAATTTGCAACGACTATTGTCATAAATAACGTATAAACATTATTGAGAATGTTAACCTTACAACTACTGAAAGAAACTAAACATGTGATTAAACACCTTTGGCTGAAATTAGGCAATTCCTTGAAGCCAAGTCACGATGGACGCAATTTTTTCGATGTAAAAACCGCATACCTCGCGAAGCCTGAAAAAGCGCCGAATTTTGAGGCATTAAAATACTAATAATGATAACATCACTAATGTTGTGACAATAATGTCCAATGTAACCACTGATCTTCCTCATACAAAGTTCTCAAGCCGATTAGTCGCGAAGCAACGTGGCGCAGTCCCAAGTGCTGGATAGGGGTTAATCGAAGGCCAAACGTGACCTTTCTCTCCTGAGACACAGGCTGATTCAGCTGATGGACTACCTGTTTCTCCCGCTCCGATTTGGAACATACTTTCTGTATTTACGAGGCGTATTCATGCAAGCGTGTGTGGGTGCGTTCTAGTTTATACGGGTTGTATTCTACGACTCAATTCATCCAAAAGCCTGCAATCAAGTGACTGGGAAGTATATGAGAGGCGGTTAGTAGCTGCCTCCAACAAATAAGCTCCATGCCCACTCTGGAACAGCCTGGCAACCTACCCGTGAGTATACCCACCACCACGTTCGGAGCCCAGCAAGCTATACGTGGTTATCGAAAATGCTAAGCATCACTAAGCTAAGGGGAGATGGCTCGCTGAGGAAGACCTGAGTCGACACACACAAGGCGAAGCTGCCACGTCGAGACGAGTAACAAGCGTGGACCATCGACTCGGATCATCGGCTCTGAGAAAGACGAAGACGTCGAAACGTTAGCCGAAAATAAATATAATTATCAACCTCGTGTAAGCTCATCAAGGAAAGAGAACAGTTTAAAAAACGCGCCTCATTCCCCTGACCCCGAAACAGCCCCCAATTTCGTAGCTTTGGGTAGGACGAGTACGAGGAGGATGCAAAAATATCAAAGCCAATAGAAGCTGCCTGGATTTCAAAAAACTATGATGACTATCTGTACCTGCAATGCACGTACACTTGCATCCGAACCCTCGATAGAAGAACTTGCTCATACAAGCAAGAAGAATAAGGTACGATGTCGTCGGCCTGGCCGAGGCGAGCAGATGCCTCCCATTCGACGCCGTCTGTGAAACAGGAAAAAAATTGTTCCTCCGAACATGCGACAGCAGAAAAGCCAGCAGCCAGTGTTCACGTCCATGATTGAAGAGATGTAGATCAACACCAGATTTAACAATCTTCATGGTCTACGCCCCGACGTCAAGTTATGACGAAGACGAAATCGAAGCGTTATATTGAAGAAGTTCTACAAAGAAAATCACATATTCTTTAAGGTTATCGTTGGAGATTTATCGCTAAGATGGAACGCCGAAGGACGTCTGAAGAACGTCATATTGGGACCCACGGATTAGAATGGAACAAACAGAGAGAGCGGCTGCCTCGGTTTATCATGACGACCAAGACCATTCCTAGTAACTCGCGATTCCCGAAGCGAACCCACTCCACCCCGCTCCTCAACGCTGCACATGGGGTGTCTTTTATATGAAGGATCAGATCATTGTCTCCTTTGCGCAAAATTCAATTTCTCTTAGAACGTGGGGAAAGCCACGAAGTTCAAAAAATAAAGTTCCAAAACCACCATATGCTGGGATTTAGCCAGTTCGTTAGCCAGCTGCTGGGAAGATGTCGTCCCTGATAATATCGACGAGATATACGATCGGCTCATGGAACATCTTCACGTTAGCGCTATGAAAGCTGAGAATTCGAAAGTTATAAATAGTCGTTTGTCTCCAGAAGCACTCTAACTGATACATCGACTTGGAATCGTGCGAGCAACAGACAAACTCCAACTCATATCCGAATTTCCAAAACAACGTGGATCGGCGGTAAATGAACATCTTAAAAGGAGAAGAGCAGCAGCTGTGGTCGAAGTTGCATATAGTGGGAAAAGCATTCGCAAAGCCCACTGAAGGTTCGCCAATTACAAAGCCAAGATGATTGCAATCCGACGTTTAGACGGGATAGTTTCATCTTTGAGAAAGGAAGCGGAGAAAATCATTTATGATTACTCCTCGAATATCTTCAGTAGCCACGTTTTCAAGCGCATTGAAATAAAGGAGGATGGAACTGTGGTCCCGTCTGTTCACCCTTCAAAAATTCGACATGTTATTTCGCCTCTTATGAATCGAGCAACATCAGGTCTGGACAGGATAAGATATGACCAGGTCTGGAGAGGATGGGATCTGAGCACTTCAAGAGCCTTCCGCCAGTCCTCACGAACACAACGACTCGGCTCCTCAAACATTGCCCTTCTGAATGCAAGGTTCCTAGTCAGTGGAAGACTAGCAAGGCTCTGGTATTGTTCAAGAAGGTTGATCTCTATGGTATCGAAAAATATCGCCCAATCAGTTTACTCTGCGGTTTGCCAACTTCTCACTCTTCTCATCCTAAACAGGACTGACAGAACACTGGACGGAAGAGTAGCCATATGTGTAGGCAGGATTACGAAAAGGATTCAGTACGGTGGAACACATCCACACAAGACACAGTAAAGTGTTGCGAGAGTACAACAGAACTTTCTGTCCCACTTTCATCAATTTGGGAAGCTTTTGAATTCCGTTGAGGTAGTAGCAGCCATGGAGGCCCTGGACATCCGAGGAGTCACTATTCGCTATTTCGGTATTTAAAAATTCTTCGTGAGCCATATAAAAATTTTGCGACCAAAATATCACTATCCTATTACGGTGTAAACATTGAAGTCAGAAGAGGGGTTAAAGAGGCGGTACCATCTCGCTAAAATTGTCTACCACTTTGAGCACCTCATGAAAACATTGGATTGGAACAACATGGAATTGAAAATTGATGGTTGGCTTAGCTGAGGGAACGGTTTTTGCAACAAGCATTAGCTGGGCGGAACGAATGTCGGCCGACTTTGATGGCGCCTGTGAAAAGATTGGTCTTCGGCTAAACCTCACAAAAACGATGTTCATGAGGCACGGGTTGATTTCATGTGCCCCATTGACGCTCAACGGTACGAATATCTCTGAATGCTCCAGTTACGTCTAACTAGGTCGAGAAATCAGCAAGATTAACAACGTAGCCGTAGAGTTGAGCAGGAGGAAGCGAATAGCTTGAGAACTCTCAAAAGCATGGAGGATGTAGTGAGGTAAACAAGAAACACTCGATTCTGTGCCCACCTTTTCGACTCCACAATTCTCTCTGACTTAACATTTGCATCAGAAACCTGGTGGCTACGTAAACAGGATAAAAGATCATTCAGCGCAAATGAATGCGCAGTCGTAAGAACGGTGATAGGAGTAGCCCGCATCACGGAAGTAAAATAGGAGATCCGAGGCTCCGATACGTCAATGATTAAAAAGCAGAGATGCCGTTCTAAACGCCATATTGTTAAACATAATGTAGGCTTGCCACGTAACGAATATGAACAACAAATCGTGGACAACAGCCATTAATGACTGTATTCCTCGGGATGTTAAACGTACTGCAGGAAGGTCACCGACCCGATGGTAAGAGTTCCTCATGAAATCCTTAGAAGATATGATGCTCAACGAGCCTGTGGAGCGAGTGGAATCCACAGGACTACTCTAGCACGCGACAGGAAGAAATGGAAAGTGTACTGGCGCCTGTTAGAGTCCTTTGACGATCAATGGTGAGACAGGTGATACAGGTGTCAACAGCAAGTACAACGTCAAGCCTTACCAAAATATGACGCATGGTTTTGATAAAATAAAGTACAGTGTTGAATTCCAATCGGACGTCTATATTTTTGTTTTATATGAAGGATCTTGCCAATAGTGATTCTAACACTGATTTACTGTGATACGAGCTTGAGGGAGGTGAGAACTGCTTTTCAAATTGGCACACAATATTTAGTCTGATATCCTTCTTCACAGCACAGCTCGACGACATACAACAACACTCAACCACGTTGAGGTGGTAAATAATTGAGGGTTGTATATGTATGGGCAATGAAGCCGTAACAGAGTCTTAAGAGGTAGTCTTAAGAATATGATTCTGAGCTATCGATGCAAAGAAATAAAATAAAACTCTTAAGGTTCTCAATTAACTTTGAAAAGTAAATTCATTCAAAGATTCAATATCAAGGTCAAGATTCAAAAATCTTAAGTACGGTTCTAGGCAAACTAGAGAATTAGTCCCTTTAGTAACACACGTGAGTCCTCTCAGTTCTTATCCTATGTGGCTGCTTAATCTGCGAATAATCTCACCCCACATATGAATCGGGCAGAACGAGTTTTCTAGAACTTATGTAGTGGAACGGAAATAGGAGAACCCTTAGATATGACTGAAGAAGTACAATCACAATCTTAGCCCTTTTATTTACTGCCTTTTTCTTCTTAATGGCAGGGTATGTTGCGAAATATAACTCGTATGAAATGCTGAGATATTTGCAGAACTCCGGACCACAGGTGTATGCAGTGGAGAACGAACGCGCGCTGTTGTTCTTACCGGGGAGCAGCGCACTTCACCACTACACCATCCGCGTCCTTCGTCTTGCCTGTCTCTCAGCTAGTTCTATCGATTTTTTTACCATCAGCAATCACTCGAAGATCGATAGAACTAGCTGAGAGACAGGTAAGACGAAGGACCCGGATGGTGTAGTGGTGAAATGCGCTGCTCCCCGGTAAGGACAACAGCGCGTGTTCGTTCCCCACTGTATACACCTGTGGACCGGAGTTTTGCAAATATCTCAGCATTTCATATGAAGAAATATAGTTAATGCAATACGTTGCCGAAAGACTTGAGCTTTTAGGCTTATGGTGGAAAATATCCACTAAAAGATCTCCCCAACTCAACTAGTAGACGTACTGTAGAATCATTGTGTCAAGCCATACAGACAGCACTACACAGTTTATTTTCATATTACATCCTCCACACTCATATACACACATAAACACGTCCATACATACAATCATATACCGTATAGGCGCACACACACACACACTTTTACACCATTTCACCATTTGTGTGTGAAAGAGTATTACCTCTAAAGCATATATAACTCGCTCGCCAACTTCTATACATTCCTTTTGTTTTTTGAGATGTGACTCCAAATTGCCACCTGGACAATATTCCATCACGATCAGAATAGGTGCACGATCGCAAGCCAAACCATAAAACTAAAAAAGTGGGAGTAGGACAAAAGGGATTTGAATTGCTCTCCAGATACAAAATTCCTTCTCACAACCTCGACAATATGCTCGTGCACATAGTAACTCATCATCTGAGCTTCTTCAACCATTTGATTACGTGCATTTCTTGTCGTTTCATCGGGGTATTTGTCTGATTTATCATTTCCACGACAAATCTTAAACGTTTCACGTTGGGAAATTAAGTTTACCTATTATAGATTGACCTGTTTAACGAAAGGAAAACCGTAGCAAAATAGGCTCAAACCTTTACAGCCACCACCATTTTCTCATCTGATGTTCGCTGATATGTTCCTTTATATACCTGACAAAAATTTCCAGAACCAAGAAAACCCTAGACGTAGCCTTATCATTGTCATAGCACTGGCGAAATATACAACTTCGTTCTTTGCTCACTTTTTCTTGATCGTAAGTCACATTTTCGTGCCTGATTAACCATGACGGACGAGCGATACCATGCCGCAATAGCGCATGTCCAGGTAGAAGATGTTTCTGGAATTGATAACGCTAAATGAAGGAAAAATAAGTAAAGCACTTGACTTCGATCAGTCTCGAAGGAACGTGGCGTGCACTTCACCTCGATCGTAGATTCTTGCAGTTGGTTGAGTAAATATTCGGTCTATGCAATGACTTGTAGTAGCAATTTTAGCTTATTATTACTGCCTACTCGTTTTAATGGCTGGTTATATTGCGAAACGTAACTTCAATGATGCTGAGATATTTGCAAAACACCGAACCAGAGGTGTCCGCGGTGGGGAACGAACCGAGGAGTAAAGCGTTCACCACCACATCACGCGGGCCCTTCGTTTCGCCTATCCCTCAGCTAGTTCTATCGATCTCTGCCATCAGCAATCACCCGTCAGCGGGATTTATCTGAGGAGCCCAAATCGGTAACGAACCCAGTTAAGCTAAGACTGTAGTTATAATTACAATTTTAACTTATTATTTACTGCATACTCTTTTTACACATGTGGTTCGGAGTTTTGCAAATAGCTCAGCATCATTGAAGTCATATTTCCCAATATACTCTGCCATTAAAAACATCATCAGCTTAACTGGGTTCGTTGCCGATTTGGGCTCTCAGATCAATCTTGCTGACGAGTGTTTGCTGATGGCAAAGATCGATAGAACTAGCTGAGAGACAGGCGAAGCGAAGGACCCACATGGTGTGGTGGTGAACGCGTTACTCTCCAGAAAAGCCAACAGCGCGTTCGTTTTTCACTGCAGACACCTACGGTCCGGAGTTTTGCAAATATCTCCGCATCATTGGACTTGTGGGAGCCTTGGTCATTTTTTCATTCTCCCAAAAGTCCGGTACCAATCTGCTTTCCCAGGGTGGGGTGCTTGGTTAGCCCCACGAGTGGGATCGAACTAAAGACTAATTTTGTATTATAGGGCACCTCTACGTACTGCACTATACGAAGTGGATTGCTTAGTTCGCTGCTTTATAAAGATATCTAGCAGTAGTGGATACTTTTCATTCACATCATGATAATGGGATGTGGCCACCTACGATGTGAAGTATTTTATTCTCAAATAAAGTTCCAAGCTGGAAAACCACTAGATATTCCCAACAGTATTACCACCTAAGAGTAAACCTATTCCATCATGGAACTCGATAAGCCATTGTTGGATACTTTTCTGCCGAATCCAGCAGAAATAAAAGCTCTCATATCAGAAATGTGAAGTCCGTCGTGCGTCCAGCAAGAAAAGACCACTGGATAGAACTGAACTCATTTCGAATGGAGACGTTAGTGATACTTTATAAGGTTGTAGAATAACTGGCGGAAATGTTAATGTTCAAGGTGACAGATGCTGATCCAACAGTGTTGGACGCTCTGCTTGCCGAGCTCGATGCCAAGACACAGCGGTTTTTAACTTAAACTACAGCAAGTTTGGCGCTGATGACTCGGAAGTGCTTATGTACGATAAGGAAAGTAAAGAAAATTACTCTATAGTAACGTATGAGTTGATGTATTTCTGTGAACTGTGGCATTGGTCGTCCGCTTTTTCGAATCGCGTGAAGTTGAAATTTTTTGTTCACGCTTCTAAAAAGTAGGTTTCAGTCCTACAAAATGAGATGAATAAGTTGAAAGATATGCCAACCAATAGACAAGTGCTTGCCTTACTACTACGTTCACCAATTTACGGTTGCCATTGAGAACAGAAAGAACGACCTCTGGTCGATTAAAAGAATCGCTGGCTCGAAATAGGAAATCACCAGGATTCTTCAGTAGGCGACTAAAATATGTCAGATAATTCACGCTACGGTAAGGAATAGGTAACGTAAGGAGTGTCAAAAAATTCAATTAAAAGCTAGGGATAGGTCGAACCACAGGGCAAAATTGTCTAAATTTAGAAACGCTTCGACACTCCCATCATCCGGAAACCAACCTACATGTAGCTACCTCTTCATCAAACAGTGAAAATAAAGGATTACGACACAGAGGCGTGATCCTCTTCATGTCCCTCAAATGCGCTAAGTCGTATCCGGACCTAGCGCTGAAACTCAACGGAGCAACTACTCAGGTGTGACAGGGACTAGTGGAGACTCTTCTATTGAAGATTTCAATTTTTGGAACTATTGATTGCCCATTAAATTTTAAAAAAACAAGAAATTTAAAGCAAAATGGGTTAAAATTTGAAAAATTGGCGCTTGGCGAAAACACAACGTACACAACATCTTTTCGTGGTCGAAAACCATGGTAATACAACTCATCTTTCATCTTCTTTTTCGCCTATAAGAATTAAATAATGCCGTATGATTGGAATGCTGTCTTCTATTTTTTCAAACCTCGTCATAAATTTAGCTTTTAAGCATCACTTTTGGGCTATGTGAGTTCACTTGACAGTAGTTGACCATTTCGGCGTTTTTACCTTAAGCTCAGCCTGGAAGAACCTACGCTTCCACTAACACCCACAAAATGCTATCGATCAAGATGAATGGTGTACCGCGACGATCAGCCTTATTGATATCAACCATCACGCTGATGTTCCATTAGTCAAAGAACACTGATCAAGTAAAACAGTTAAGTTTGAAAGGTAAGACGGATAAGTTAGCTAATGAGGACATACACCACCAACGCACGAATTCTCAACTTCAAAATGTAAACTATGGGTGGATAGTGACAATGTAAATGCGTCACCTTTGAGCGCTTCGATAAACGATTGTCTTTGTACGATTTGGATGATCTAGATAATCTAGATACTTTAGATATGGATGTCTGAAATTCAAGCTAGAAATAAGAGTGATTTTTAAACCATCTACATGTATAAGATCAGCTGCGCACCTTTTCGCGTGATTGCTGAAGTGTATCCATCAAACGCTTCATAGGTATCTTTTTGAATCCATCGTCATATTTTCTCGAACAACTGGTAGCACTCTCCTTAGAATCAGTTACCACATTCGTTTGTTTGGATTTCGATGATTCGCTGCTGTTTGTTTCTTTCGAGGCTAACCGTTCAGTTTTTGTATTCATGCTTTTAGACGACTTAATATCTCTTTTCTTTTCCGAAAGGTTTCGACACAATTTTTTTGCACTGCCGAAGAAATCTCCCAAACTTTGCTTTTTTTGTGAAGTTTCATTCTCTTTTTTAATTCATTCATTTGCGAATTTTCTTGCAATTCACCACAGATAGAAGACAGATAAGTTAGCCTTCACTACGTAGCGTTTTAGAGGATTTTAGTGTGCTCGAATCGTCTACGTTCGCTGTTGTGGGTTGAGTCTTCTTCCTTATTGCCTTTATGAACCATGACGGCCTTACACTCTACAAAGTCTGCGGCAAGTTTATGATTAGAAGAAAGTTTTGATTTCACATGTAAATTTCATGAGAGAGAGAGAGATACCAAAAGACGTGGTAAATTTCAATTTTCTCATGCCTCTTTTATGAACAGTGGACTATAGATCTATATACAATTTGATTAAAATGGATTGCTGGGTAGCTCAGTGGCAGCGACGCCTTTCATGTCCATTTCTCGGGTCTAGCTCGCCTCTCATCCTGTTGTAGTTGCAACATTGTTACCGCACCTATCTGGATCCACCCAGTACCTCCAGACCACGTGGTAACGCTCCTTCACAGCTATCCAACTTTTCAAGGTAGAACTAACTCGACCAGCACCCAGTAAAATTTATAAAGAAGAAGAAAATCCTTAACAGCAGCAAAGGCTATATAATAAAAGCTCAAACACTCCGTAGATGGTATATGCGTGGAAACAACATAAATGCAAGAAGCGATGCAATCGGAGCAATATCTGTGACGCCGGACCATGCAGAAAACCTTTTGATCTGATCCTGTTTGGATTATTCGGGGCATTCCTTAGCAGAGCACAAAAAAATTTCATATTACACTTTCTACGTATCACATCAGCTTTTGTGGCAAGTGTCAGTGAGCCCCTTAAAGCTGACAAGTTGATGCCGGTTAAAATTCCACCTTCTACCAAAGTTCTCTTCAGAACGAACAACATTTCTAAATCTGAACTGCACTGAATCCTCAGATGCTTGTACCCGTTCATGAATATGATGATGTTGCACAAAAGTGGAATGCTCACAATCATAGCTAATTGACCTAACTACTACTAACTCTGCGCAAGAGCGCTAATAATGCTCTTCATAGTCTAAACTCTAGTCGTACAAAAGAGATGTACTGTCTCAAGAGAAATGAGTTTTTTAGTAAAAGGTCTACCGATATTGGAAGAACACCATCGAACTCAAGGTGCTCGTCAGAACAAGCAAATGCATTTTACCAGCAGCAGTTTGTTAGAGAGACATGGTTGTAATTTCATTGGTCGCCTCTGTTATCATAATGGTTCATTGACGAACCTCATGGTTAAATTGGAAAAGGAAGGCCACCATGCTAGCCTCATGGCCAAACTAGAACAGGCTCTTCAATTCTTAGCACAGCCTGTTGTCGAAATGGGCAATCAGAAGCTATCCCACTTGATCACTTGATTAGCTTCGACTTGGATAACATCCATCTCAATATTCTCTTAACGACTTAGAAGTGAGTATAACGTTACTCGTCTTCCCTAGCAAAAAATCCACCGAGCAACTTTTCCAAGAAACGAACCGAGGAGTGAATGTTGCTAGAACAAGACCAAATGAATACCGTGCAGTGTAACAGCTGTTCTAAAAGGTCACATCGTTGAGGTCATAACTTC